AGGCCTAGCACACATCGCATTGAAGCAGCTGATGTACCTTTTGTGCAACCGAGTATGGCTCTCATTCCTTCGTTCTGGATCACGCCCAGGCTTCTAAGTTGCTTCTTGGACAGTGTCAGCAGACCAAAACCATAATCTACAGGAGACAAGACAAGCATGTCAAAGAGCAGCACCTTGTCTCTCGCTATCACCTTCACTGCATTCAGCCCTTTTCTGGCCTTTATAATGATTTTCGATATGTCCTCCTTTCCGCTCAATGTCCTGTCAAACACTATTCCGAGATAGCGCAATGTTTCTTCTCTTTTGGTTGTCTGGCCTTTGATGTAGACATCTGGAAGCTGGGCTTTCACTGCTCGTTTGTTGAGGGAGCACCAAAGTAGTGTCGCTTTTCCAGGATGGATTTTGCCTTTATTTGCTTCACACCATGCTCCACTCCTATCAAGCTCTTTCTGTATACTGTTGGCGGTCAGCAGTCTGTCTTTCCCTGTGCGGTATGCCAGACCGTTATCCGCAAAGCTTAGTGTCCTGCCAGGGCCTTTCAATTGGTTAGAAGTGATTCCTACTGCATACACGTTGAACAAAACAGGTGATAGGGCAGAGCCTTGAGGTAAGCCTGGTGTGATCGTGCAAGCGTTCGATGCCCACGAGCCAAGTCTCATAGCAACCCTCCTCTTCAACATTGCTTCCTAAATCTAGATAATCAAAGCTGGGGTGATTCTCTAGTTGACTAGTCCTCATCAGTATCTCATATTGTACCCTGTTGTATGCGTCTTCTAAGTCCAATGCAACCACTACTGGGAAAGTGATTAAACGTTTATCTTTTCAGTAAGCTTTACAGCACTTGCACTTGCAACATAAAAATAGAATATTGAAGTGCTGAAGATGAGAAATATTACTATTACAAGAGACTAACAAACACAAACAAGAAGGAGGAGAGATGAGGACGAAAGATGTTTGATAGGAAAGAATGAGCAAACAACAGGAGCACCCGTCAACCATACACAGAAAGTGTTTAAATTAGTTCATTTAATTAACAAACGACACAAGACCATTGTGAACGGGGTGCTTAAAGGAAAGATGTTGAGCAGGAGAGCCAGAAAAAGGCAAAGAATAACATGGGTGGACAACATAGGAAAAAGGACTGGCCTGGATATGGCAGAATGTGCAACTGCAGCTCGCGACCATGAAAGACGGAGGGTCATTACACGTCAACCTCTGAGTCAGAGATGACACCTCCAGGTAATTAACAAACCCATACAAGGACTTAACATCGACAGAAGGCAAGCCGAGCTGGGGAACAGATTTGGACTAACAGCAACAAAAATTAACAATGTAAGAAGAGATGTATAGCAGAGGTAGACCCTACTTGAGCAACAGTAAGCAACCATTTGAATTAGAGAGAAAGAGTCTGAATGCTCCATATCCGTGTCTTGGGGGAGGGGGGGGGGGCAATGATTAGATTCTTTGCTTCATACTCTTTAAAAAACCAGTTGATTCCCAAATGCAGTTTCATAGAGGATCTCCATATTTCAGCATGGAAGTGTCCAGCACAGACTGTTTGGCCCTTATAGGCAGGAATGAGGCAGCTCGCCTCTGGCAGATTAATATTTTGTCAACATGGGCAATAAAGATATCAAAATCTACATTTAAAAAACCCCAGCAGCATTCTAAAAAAACTAAATCAAGTACAACTCAAAGACTTTTTTCCTTTTTGTACAAATTTTAATCCATGTCAATGGAGACAAAAACGTATTCAATACCGACTCCCAAACTGTGTCAGACAGGGGCAATGCAGAATTTTGGAATTCTGGAAATTTCTGGAGAAATTCTGAAAAGCAGTGCCGGCTATAACATGCAGCAGCATTGGGACCAGTGGTAGTCCCAGTTCCCGCGATGCCAGTGATGAGAAGAACAATGAGTGGCGTGACAGTCACTGAGTGAGGGCAAACTTAAGTGACTCATTCAACTTTTGCAGCCACCCTTGCCTACATGTCTCAGATCTTTTACATGTTAACAAGGAAAAGAAAATGTCTCTTTTAAGCTGCTGGTTATATGAAAATGACAAAACGGTTACAGTTACAGTATTACTCCGTTTTTGATTCAGAAAGTCCACTGGTGAGGGCATCAAATGAACAGAGTATAGCACAAGAAACATCTGTGGGTGAAATGCTCAATACAAGGAATGGAACCAAGCAGCTTCACATAATGTTACACTCCCCCCCCCCCCCCAAGGCATGATATATTTACAATATTTCCCTTAGCAACAAGTACACACCCTCTGGGTCTAGTATTTACAAATACATATTTACAAACTTACACAGATTGGTCAATAAGAAATGATACAAAAAACATTTATGTTTGGATACTTCAGATGGCAAGAGCCTCTCTATATATACAATTGCGAACGCACACATCAGACATCTGTCTCACTGGTGTAAACATGCAGAAAAGAAACTCCTACTTTTTGTACTGACCAAAAAACAAACTCTCAGTCAGTAGTATCACAGGCTCCTTAAGGCCGCAGTTTCAAACATAAATCTGCAGCCGGAACAAAAACAATGAAGATTCCATCAGACCTACCAGCCCCTGAGAAGCGGAATGAGGGACCCTCGGTCTACTAATGACGAGTGAGCTGATATACGTTTTACGAAAACTGACTTTAAAAATACGAAAAAAGAACTGAGTGAAGTCAGCATTTAAAAGCTTGTACTTAAGTCCATCCGAGTCACTATTAATAATAATCAGAATAATAGTTCCTCCATCATGAACTGAAGATGACCTTTAACTTCAAAGAAGGAAGAGAAGCTATAGACCTTGTTAGCTACTACAGGCTCTGTTGCCATGTTAAGTTCGCGTTACGTCTCTCATTTGTCTCACGACATGGTGGAATCAGGTGCTCATCAATTTTTGGGCACATTGAGTTGTTGGTATCATCTTAAAGCTTGTTTACTTATTTTGCTTTTGGTGAAAAAATATACCCATCTTTCTTCAACAGAAGAAGAGGAATTTGCAGCTGAAGGAGATGGGGGTCACCCGGAGTCAAGAGGTAAAAAAAATTAGCATAAAAATAGCCACCAAAGTTGTGAGTCTTCAAAAGTTTCAGTGTCCTTGGAAACGGCAAAATTACATTTTTTGTGCCTTTGATCAACGTTTTTTGGTAAAATTCACACAAATGTGTAAATGGGCTTTAAAGCGTTGAGCCAAAAATGATTAAAAAAAAAGATAAATAACGTTCGCCGGTTTCTTTGATTTTATGATTTTGACAAGCACCCGATTTCACCACAATGCCACATATTATATAACGCACAAATACTGTTGTTTTATGTTATCCAAGGTACCCAATATCTCTCTAAACTCTTTCCATGAACTATGTAAACATTAGTCCTCCCTCTCTATTAATACAAAATTCAGGACAACTGGTATAAAAATCATGGAACACATATGGTCTTATGAACTGTAAAGAAAGTTATCAAGCACATGCTCTTGTCTGTCTGTGAATTATGATGTACATTAATAATTTTCTTATCCTCTCCCAAAGGAACAAAACATTACAATAAGCAAATACCAATGCATTTTTCTCAGAGCCTTCTTGCATCAAAGACTCAATTCTTTTTATCAGTGAAGGGGGAAAAACACAGATTTGCAAAACAAGCAAAAACTCCCTCAAAAAGAGCAGCGAAGCGAGACACTTTCAATAGGCTAAAAAACAAAGATTGAATCTAAGAATTCTGAATTTCCCGGGGGGGGGGGGGGGGGGGGGGGGGGGGGGGGAGGGGAAATTTTTTTATTTCTCTCCCCCGGGGAAACCAGGATGAAACTATCAGGTAAAAATATAACAAAAAGAAAGCATGCATGAAATGACTTTAACAACGTCAACAACATTTCTGGAGTCCTGATTTGCTCAGATCACGGAGCCTCTTTTCTTGCAGGTGAACGCAAAGAAGAAGGATAACAGACAAAAGGCCCTTACATCATCAGCCAAAGAGAAAAAAAGCTACCCCTTGCCTTCAGCATTGAGAAACCCTAAAAAGCGCATAAAAGCAAAATTTAACAGCTAATCATAAGGGAAGGTGAAAACCCACTGACAGCAATAGAGAGGCCTGAGAGTAAAGAAGAAAGTAAAAGGGAGCTTATTCTTAGTGTACACTGCACTGCAAGAGGACAGACTGTCGCCTTGCAGAAAAAAAACCTAAAGATAATATTCTTGTTAATTCTATCCAACAGTCTGGCATGCACATGGCGAAATCGGAGGGACGTGGGAATATTTCGTTATGTACGAATTTTGCTAGGCAAATGTTTAGTTAAATACAAAGAATATAAATGTATTGAAAAAAAATTCAGGAAATGAAAATCTGTTTGCCATGAGCGTGTTTCGCTATGTGCATGCTACACTGTATATATAAATACTGTTGTTTTATGTTATTTGAGGTACCCGCTCCCTCTCCAAACTCTGGCCAAGTGCTATGTACATATTATTATCTTTCATCCCTGTATCGGACACAAAAAGCAAGCACTCCTCTGCTCACAAACCACTTCCGTTCCTAACTTTTTTTTTACATGCCAAATTTGTACACACGTCTGAACAGCTACTCAGGGCATTTCCCCTTTGAGTCAGTGTGCCAAAATATGTCTTTGTACAATAACATAAAATGAAAACAATTCACGCAATCCACAGTGAAATATCTTAGGCGCAATCTTAGACTTTAATATACGTCTCAAAGTAGCAGTTCTGTTCAAGATCCAGAGATTGTCATTCAAACGTAACATACTTTCACTGGTCAGTCTGATGCAACAGGATGACAGAATTGCCAAAAAGGGCACGAGTGCCGCTCCCATATTGAGAGAAACTCTCCGTCTTTTCCATTTTGCCAGCCTTTGAAAGTAACATTCAAGGTAGATTTGTCTCTATGGCAATCAACATACTATGGTAACAACATCATCATCATCATTGCCTTTCTCACCCTGCACCAGGGTACAGGCCACGGAAAAACACTTTCCACTTTTCTCTATCCTAGGCTAGCCTCTTGATGTTATTTCAAGTCTTTTCACTTTTCTGTACACCAAGTTCTATAATTCTTCAGGTAACATAGAGGAAAAGAATTACCCTACTTGGCAAAGCCTAACACAAGATTTGGTGACCAACTAAATGACCCTCCATCTTTTCAAAAAGCACCATCTGTCTTAGTTGAGATCTTGTCCCTCCAACAGCTTGTCACTATGGAGCCCAGGGCACCTGTATAAATATGTTAGGCAGATGGGACCAGGGCTCAAACAGGGGGTTATCCCCTTCACTTTCACTGATAACTCTTTTGAGATGGGGCTGCAAAAGGTGGGGGGAAAAAAGGGGAGGGGGGGAGAATAACTGTCATAAAAATTCGTAATCCTCACTAATGACAACAGAGTAATGGAAGTGTACAGGATGACTGGAGAATTGTTTCGCTACTACCTTAAGAAATTAATATCTGTAAGGTAACATTTCCTCTGGTAAAGTGTATGGGTTTAACTTATTATCCCTATGAATACTATTAGATTTTTAAAGAGGTGGGAACCTCCAAATATAATGTCCGTCTCCGAATGGACCCAGCCAGATGGGTTGAGTCCACAAAAACGACTTGAGTTCAAGAACACATAGTCTGGGATTTGAACCAGGAGCGTCTGCTCCGTTGTCCAGCATGAAGACAACTGAGCTAACGAAGCGCCCGTCATTTCTTCTGTTTGATGGTGCCAAAAGAACTTATACATAAGAGCAAATACTTTCTAGTTTACACGGCAGCCTGTGAGTGAAATCAAGCCAGGAACCCTCTCGGGCACAGCGGCAAAGGTGTTAAAGTATTTCCGGGATATTGAAGTCGTCCATGAAGTTCTGGGTGGGCTGTCCCATCTGGCCCATGGCCGAGCCCTGCATGGCCTGCTGACCCCCAGGGCCCATCACTCCGCCTGGCTGGTTCTGGGGCGTCCCGCCTCGCATGTGCTGCTGTTGCATGAGCAGCTGCTGCTGCTGCTGTTGTTGGCGCAGCTGCTGTTGACGGGACAAACATGAAATGTCACTTAAAATAGAAACATATCGACGCAATGATAAGGATAAAGCTCTTTCAAGGCAGACTGGGGAGATGAAGGAGGTTTTAGGGGTTAATGAGAGACGTAAATAATCAATAACCTGCACAAAAAATATCAATTGAAAAGAGGGTTTAGAACAACAAACAGCACACACAAACAAAAAAGAAAAGATAAAAATTACCTCCAAAGTAAATTTCAGGTATTTTGGCAAAATAACAGGAAGATTAAAGGCAAAAAAGAGAAAAAAAACAATGAACACTAGCCGAGTACAAATTCTTGCCATCTGACAAAGCATGCTTCTATTAATAATATTTCGTAATTATATTTCAAAAACTAAAAACTAAAAATCATAATATGTGTGTGTGTGTGTGTGCATGTGTGTACGAGTGAGTGAGTATGTGAGTGCGTGTGTGCGCGCGCGCGTGCGTGCGCGCACGTGCATACACGAGAGTGCATAGTATTGAAGATACGAGGTGTGTGTGTTCAGTTTTTTTTTGTAACACTTCTGAACTGTCGTTCAAGGCACCCATCAATCAGTAATGAAAGTGTATTTTGAGCCCAGAACACCAGCAGTCAGAAACCATGTCTTGGTTTCACCAATCACGGATTTAAAAATCGTGCAAGCCAAAATTAATTACTGAAAAATCTTCATAGACGGCCTTTAAGGCAGAGCAAAAAGTAACAATGGGAGAAGGCCTGTACCGAGTGCCGGAGTTGGGAGGACTGAAGGGAGCACGGGGCCTAGTGATGTTGGAAATCAGGCAATCGAAGTAACATGCACTCAGTGTTGATTTTTTTTAAATGCTCAATCACAAATCCAGTTTTAATCGTCGGTGGTTTCATACGGTGAGAAGCTATCACGATGATATAAGGCTTCCAACATAATTCAGCACGCTGCACACTTTCCTAATAACAAGAATTTGGTCCCCAGATTTTATTCTTCGGTATCGCGACAAGCCGTTCAAGTGTATTTTAAAATAGTTTGATTTTGTTTTTATCCACCCCCCCCCCCCCGGCTTACCCCTGAAGAATTGTCCTTCGCTATTGATCGGGGTTAAAAGATGCTTGGGCGCACAGAACAGACCAGAAGCCAAATCTGAACTGGACTATTCCTGGTGACCACGACAAACGCCACTCGCTGACACGTGCGATACTCATACGAGGTCATGTCACCTTGCGGTACTCACACTCATATCACGTGACGCGAGCACGCGGTGGAAGACAGAAGACGCGCACTTTCAGTTGTTCGGCCATGAAAACGGGAGACAACTAAAACGAGCGAACCTTGTCTTAACTCTATCCGGGCGCCCTGGGGTCATTTTGTAACCCCGGGGTTGTATTCTTCACATTTTAGAAAACTTCTAGTGCAAATATCTCTTTTTTGAAACTTTCAGTATTTCTCAAAAAATCATTTAGACAGACTGCTATGCAAAGCGTACGGATCGGATTAACGAGTAAATTTCCTCTTTGGAAAGTGGTGGCACAGATACGACAGTAAAACACAACGTATTGATAGGGTTAATGTGCCATTGAAACAAATTTAACGCAACCCCGAGCCGACCAATGCTGATCACTATCACGGTATTTCTGCGTGCACTATGCTGCGTGTTTTGACTTTTACTTCCACCAGACTCAGACCGACATCGGGGGATCTGCGAGGTAAAGAAAAAGAGAATATATAGCTTTGATTTGGCCGATCGAGACTGCAGAACCTTGATAAATTTGACGCCTGAACTTTCGTTATACCCGCTTATTTACGCAAAATACTGCGAACGTGATGGGTTAAAAAAAAACAACAGAAGAAAGAACTTGCCGACCATACCAGGATAATAGACATTCAAAGTTTGGAGATCAAAATTTATTTTCACGAGTCTTTCACTGGTCAATTTAGAGAGGAGTCCCCGGGATTCCCCGGGCCTAGCATTCACCCTGTTATAAAGCCCCACGCGTTGCCGTTTTGTATTCTACTGAGAACATTGGTACTGCTCGTTCGCAGAGTCACCACAGCAAAGGTGTAAAACAGGTCATCGAAAAGACTCATCGGCCGAGAAGGACACACGAAAAAGGAAGAGCCAATCTTTTTCCTTTTACTTTTAAATCTCGGCGACCATCGCGAAATCGGTACTATGGGCAGAGTTACATGTGTGGCGGTACAGCAGGTCCCTAATTGGTAAATACAACAACAACAACAAAAATCAGTAGAAATAGCCGTGCAATGTATTACATGGATCCTCCATACGTTAAAATGAACGACTCAGACAGACAAAATCATAATAATATACTTTTTGGAATCAGGCAGACAAACAACATCATAAACTATACATTGCAGATTCAGGCAGGCAGACCGACAAAAACATAAGACCTACTTTCTGACCCCAAAATGTACATTTATGACCCCACGACATACTTTCTGACCCCAAGACGTATGATCCCCATAGGAACAACAAAAATAAGAAAATAAAGCAACAAATTGAGGAGATATAATTTGAGGAATGCATTAAAAAGCCCTTCATTAAAATCAAGCAGCGGGGCGTATAAGCCCTATAATTAGTAAAGAAACATTATTTCAGGGCTACCGCCAAAAAAAAACAAAAAACGGGAGCAGGCTGAAAAGGGGGGGTGGAATACATGTTTTTGTCCTTGAGGTACATAAAGCACGTCTATTGCTATAACAATTATAATTGCATTTACGTGTCCGCGCTCTTCGGCATGCTCTATGCGCTTTACAACTATTATTACCCCAGCAGATCTTAGAACACTCAAAAACATTCTCAGCTCCCCGGTCATACAGTGTAAGCTGCAGGCTGTATACAATCAAACACTAACAAACTGACACGATCTTTCGCTGTCTGCACCCGGGGACCCATTCCCACCTGTTAAGTGAGGACATAATTAGTGTAGAATGCCTTCCCAAGGAACACAACAACGACATGCTTCTGACCGGACTCGAAGCCATGACCTTACAGTTTAGAGTCCTGTGAGCCTTATCACTAAGCCACCACTTACAATCGCTACCCTGGAATAACAAAGTTGTATCTACTCAGTAGCGAGTTCTGAGAAATCTGACGTTTAAAAAAATTTGAATTTCAAAACAGGTTACGCTTCTTTTTTTCTTTCTTTTTTGGGGGGGTTGGGCGGCGTGTTTTACGGCGCCCGCAACTGCACAAGGTCATATGAGCGCGCGGGACACATTAAACCTTTTCAGTTGATAGGAAATTTTGAATTGTGCCCGGGTGGCGGCCGAAGCCTACTCTTATCGATTTTAGGCCACTAAGGGATCTTTAACGTGCATAACTTGCACACAGGACCTCCGAAATTTTTTGCCCTCGTCCGAGGAGGCTAGGTGTAGATCTTTACTACCAGAAGATCAGGGGGTTTTCCTGAAAGACAGCAGTAAGAAGGAGCAAAGGAGTAGCAGTAGAAAGGCTGCAGCACGAGTCAGGAGCCCAGAGGAGGGGGGCAAAAGAAGTGAGGGGGGTGGGGGCAGAAAGTGGAGACGAAAGCAAACAACAGAATATTGCTAGAGAGAAGGAAAGGAGGTGAAAGGAGACAATTTTAGAGAAGAAATTTTTCCGTTGTTACCCGGATTCGAACCCGGGACCTTTGAATGAGAAGCGAACACCTTCACCTCTAGGACATGAGAGCCCCTGCATCCAGTCTGAGGGGACATGTCAGGACATAACACAGTGCTAGCCACTACGTCGCCTCAGTTGTCCAAAGTGCCTCTTTACTAAAGTCCACTTTGAACGGGGCTCTCGTGGCCTAGAGGTTAAATAAAGGTGTTCGCCTCTCATTCAAAGGTCCCGGGTTCGAATCTGGGTACTGATGGAAACTTTTTTCTCCTCTAAAATGTTCTCCTTTTACCTCCTTTTCTGCTCTCTAGCAGTGTTCTGTCGTCTGCTTTCGTCTCCACTTTCTGCCCCCACCCCCTTACCTCCTTTGCCCCCTCCACTGGGCTCTGGACTCTTTCTGTAGCCTTTGTACTGCTACTCCTTGGCTCCTTCTTACTACTGTCTTTCAGCCACACTCCTGATCTTCAGTTAAGAAAGGTCAACACAAGCCTTCTCGGACATAGGCGAAAAATCTGCGAGGTCCTGTGTGCAAGTTGCCATCCCTTGGGGGTCTAAAATCGACAAGAGTAGGCTTCGGCCGCCACCAGGGCAAAATTCAAAGTTTCCTACCAACTGAAAATGTTTGGTGTGTCCCGCGCGATCAAATGAACTTATGCAATTATGAGCGCCGCAAAACACTACAAGAAAAACCACACACACAAACAAAAAAGCACATTGAACAAAATAGTTCTGAAGCGACGACTAGTGGACGATTTTGGTCATTTTGGCGGGTGGCGGGGATCACTCGGGTTGTGACAGGTGTTATTGCATATTTTATGCCCCGCTTACAATACATGTGAGTCATCACCATCACCAAGTGCCAGATCTACAAACCCC